GTTTGTCAGGGATGAAGATTAAGGCTGCTTTTCCTACAACTGATCAATGCAGCTTCTATGAACAGATCACTTTAAAGGAGCCTTCTAGAGACAATGGCTCTACTCATTTGTCTAAAAACTTGAGGACTTTGATAGAAAGTGGCAGTTTGGGGGCTAGGTAGCCTCCGGTCACAGTTTATACGCAGATGCAAACCCACTTGTCATAAAATGATATGCTCCACTTTGTCCCCAGCTCCTCCCATCCCTCTCTACCACACCTGGTCCACTCACCTTTTCAAAGATTTTGGCGAAGAATTCATTCTGCCCTTCATTTTGGTCTTCTAGCTCCTATAGGAACAGACACGTAGAATCACATAATCACGGACCTGCACAAAGGGACTCTCATGCACACACTAACGTCTCATGGCTTCCAGGCCCCTGAAATCCGTGAGCTTGACCTTGCATTGTCTTTAATTTTACACGATAGCATTTACAAATGTCCCTTGTTTTTCCAATTCTCCTCAATTTGGGGGGAAGTCACAGATAGTGAACTGGGCAAAAGAAACACCAGGCAGAGAGAAGCGGAAGCAAATGTAAGTGTAGCTTGTGCCCCTGGTGCTCCGGGCCCTCAGTGACCAGAACCTGACCAGAAGGGCAGTTCTTTACCCTTTCTTGGTGCAAAAACAACAGAACCTGGGTCCTCTTAGGACACGATAAGTGATGTAGTATGTTTGCCACAGAATACGGAATGCAAGGATCTGTGTACCTCCTCCCCTGACCCCTCAGCTTCACGGGAGAAACCCACTATCCTGCTTGGAAAACAGTCCCAGCCACGTGGAATTCCGCCTGACTACTCACCTTAGAGAAGACAACACTGGAATTGCTGCCAGTTTCACTGAGGAGGGGGAAAAAAAAAAAGACAGTTTCCCCTTGGGAATCATCCTGGGGACTTTTTGACCAATATTGTCCCTCCCCTGGGAGCTCATCTTCCAAGTTCCTTAGCTGAGGTGCCGCGTGGGCCTGCCCGGCTCGCACGCCTCACCTGCCACTTCTCCTCAAAGTGCACAGTCCGGCCACGTGGCGCAGCACACCACCCACACCTCCCCATACCTTCATCTGGCTACTCCTGCTCGAATTTTAAGACTCAGTAGTCTGACGTGGCAGTGAGGCCCAAGATCAAGTGAAACTACCTGTGGCCAAGATATAAAAAACAAAACAAACACGCACCTGGCACTGAAGGAAGGACTGGCATGTCAAAACAGTCAGAGGCAAAGTAACAAGTTTGGCTGGGATGTGTGCATACTGATTCAACCGCATACTGTAGTAGCTGGTTAACGACAGCCTCGCTCAGCTGAAGAACTTCTGCGCCCCTCTTAGGAGTCACCTCCTCCCTGAAGCCACCCCTACTTGCCCCAGGACCGTGGAGGTTGGCTCAGATGCTCCTCTTTGATGCTGTTTTGACACCCTGTGCATCTAAACGCTTACACTGGATGCACTGTAAGATCTATAACTGTTCAAATGTCTGTGTCCTTTCCAGACCTGGAGCTCGAGGAGGGCAGGGGCCCTGGCTGTGCCATCTTTTTAACTAGCATGTGCTATTTGTGAGTGGAAGGAGAGTGGGACAGAAGAGGGAGCGATGTTCTCCGTGCAGAGAGCCGCCCTGCTCTCCTGCTCTCCCCATCTCTCTCCCGTCTCAGCAGCAGGGACCACGGGCTCTGCCATTTCAAACTTCATCCTCCATGCCTGCCCCTGCCCCAGGAGGCCCCAACCTCCGAGAGAGGCCTTGTGTCCTTACTAAAAAACGTGCTTCCCGGAGAAGACCCTGAGGACAAACTCTGACTCCCGGTGGGCCTCCGCCCAGCAGGGCACGATGAGGTACGTCCCTGGCTCCAGCTACAGCTCCCGACTCACTTCTTTCTCCGTGAGAAACACCTCAGGCTGGCTCAGGGGAGCGCTCCTCTGGAAAAAGGCAGGGGGCAGTCTCTTCTGGTCATCATAGTCCTGGGGGTGGAGGACAGAAAGACTTCAGTGGAGGTGATCACCCAGGGCTTGAGCCCAGGCCTGACGCCTTTGGCCAGGAGCCAGGACCACAGTGGCCTCTGATCCGCCAAATCCAATGTGCCTCATTGGAGGACAAGACTAAGGGGTGAGGAGGAGGAAAACACCAGAACACGTCGGGGGGAACCTTTGCT